TATGACACCAATCTTTTGAAATTTGTTGAGACTTGCTTTAGGCCCAGTATGTCATTATGTTTTAAAGACTGTTTTATATTGTGTTCAAAAAGAGTGTGTATTCTGATGTTGACTTCTATTCTCAAATTTTTTCCTTTAGATCAAGTTTTTTAAATGTTTTGTTCAAAACTTTTATATATATATATATACACACATACACAAAAAATGATTTTTTGACCATCAATTTTTGATTTATACAAATTTAGAATGTTATCTCTTATTGATATGTTGAAACTTTATTATTGTAAGGTGATTCTCTTTAGCTTTTATAATATTTTTCCTATTTTCTGATATTAATAAATCTGCATCAGCTTTCTTTTAGTTAGTTTTTGCTAGATATATCTTATACTTTTCCCCTCAACTTTCTGAATTCTTATATTTTTATGGATGTCTCCTATAAAGAGCCTATAGTTGGATTTTGTTTGATCTTTAACTGGAACATTTAGGCTGTTTACATTAATTTGGATTATTTTCTCTCATATTTCTCTTTCTTGGTTTACTAGTTACACACATTTTCTACTTTTTTAGTGATTATTATAGATATTTTATAGAGTACATATTTAGTTTATCAAAATTAAACTCAGTATATTTACCTACCTCCCAGAAAATTCAAGAAGCTTAGGACATTATACCTATCTCCAACTTTATATGCAGTTATTATTGTACATTTTAGACTTTGTTGTTTATAGTCAATGCTTATTTGGATTTGCCCTATGTTTATCACTTCTATTGTCGTTTATTTTTTCCTGCATCTCAGACCTTCTGTTTGGCATCACTTTGCTTCTGCATGCAGTATAGAAAGAGTCTTTCTGTGGTAGACTCTTTGAGTTCTTCCCTATGTTTATCACTTCTATTGTCGTTTATTTTTTCCTGCATCTCAGACCTTCTGTTTGGCGTCACTTTGCTTCTGCATGCAGTATAGAAAGAGTCTTTCTGTGGTAGACTCTTTGAGTTCTCATTTATCTGAAAAATAAATAAATAAAATAAAATTAGCAAATAGTTTATATTTTGAACAAAAGCTCCTTTGAGTTAGTGCTCCGTAGCTTTTTTCTCAGAAAGATGTATTACACCTTTAGAAAGATGTAATAGCTTACAGCATTAGCTTCTGTGCATCAGATCTTTTAGAATACCCCCCTCTAGCTTTAAGCCTTGACTTTATTTGCTCTACTAGGCGCCTTCAATTTTGCTTTCTATTTCAGCTCTTCAGCACTTCTGATGTAAACAGCTTTGGGGGTAATTATTACACACTAGTCCTGGTTGAGCTCTTCTTGCTCAGTTAAGTAATATATCTTTAGTTGCAACTAAATTCAATGAAATGGTTTTCTACTGTACATGCGAGTAATTTAAAAATTGAAATAAATGTTCATTCACGTTTTATTTTAAAACTATGATCTCTTTTGCTCCCCTTGTAGTGGTGGAGTGGTAGTGTAGCTGTTCTCTGTGCATTGGCTTACAGGGTGCCATTTTTTCAACTTTCTTTTCCTGCTATACTTAGTATTACTTCTGAATGTTATTCCACTTTCACCATTCTCAATTCTATCCCCCCACACCAGTTTAAATGTTGGTGAACTCCAGAATTCCCTTCCTGTGTATTTGTAGACTTAAATCTGGCCATTCATTAAAAAAAAAGCATTTCAAAAACAGAGTTAGAACAGAATAGAACCACAAAAGGTTTTAATAGCTTTTGAAGTGTTTTAATATATCTGTGATTTTTGTTACTTTTCAGTAAATATGACGTCAAATTTTTCTTTTAGAATTCAAGCTTGATACATCAGAAAGTGTCTCCTCCTAATGATCGGCAAGGATCTCCAATATTATCATTCATTGTTCTTGAACAATTTAATGCCATTCGTTTAGTACAAAGTGTTCATCAGTCTCTTGCTGCTCTCAGCAAAGTCATCAGAGGAACTACCTTATTGAGTTCAGAAGTACAGAAATTGGCAAGTGCTTTATTAAACCAAAAGGTAAGCCAATACTAACTATATGTGTTTCGATTTCATTATTATAAGTTGCTATTCCATCATACATACATTTGTCAGAAATCTTAGTTAATAATAACGGAAAACCCAAGTCAAACTGGTTTAAGCCAGATAGGAATTAATTGGCTGATGTAACTGAAGAGTCCAGTGGTAGCTAGCATTAAGTCAGCTTGATGCAGGATCTTAAGATTGTCATTAGGAGGCCAGTTTATGTTATCTATCAAGCTATCTAGTCACTGCATATATAATGAAATCTATGTGGATTTCACTTTAGGGGTAGCTCCTCTATACATCAACACCTCTAGTCTTATATCCTCAACAGAAAGAACAGCTGTTTCCTAGTAACTCAGGCAAAAATCTTGAGATTTCCTTTGATTCAAACCGATTGGCTCATGTGTTATACCTTTCTCATACTAGTTCTGTGGGCAGGTTGTGCGAAGTTCTCCTTGTCTAGGGATTCAGCCAAATATGTATTCCAGAAGCTGGGGATGGATTCATCTTAATCTGTAACACATATACTGAGAGTAAAGGAAGGATGGATACCCAGTGGAAAATCAGGATACTTTTAACAGAAGGGGAAATCAAAACTTCTGCTAAATAATTGGACCATTTTAAAAGATAGTCAGATTCATGTATTTCAGATCTACTTGATAGAAACAAAAAATATCAGATGTCCTGCATAGATTTATTTTAGCTATTTGGAGAATATAAATGTTGTAGAACTTGGTATCTGGAAAAGATTTCACTGAGGCTGTATAGGAATTAAGAGTTTTCTTTTTTTCCTGCTGTTTACACTCAATGTAGGGAAACCTCTGATAGTCAACCTAAAAGTTCTTTCTGTTTGAATATAAAAAGATAGCCTTCCTAGAACTTACTACATCTTACTCAGTTACATTGAGAAAATATCCAGTGCTTTTACAAATATACAAAAAGACCTACTCCAGCATCCTTGTTTTTCTTTTACCTTTACCTTGAAAAAGAATCTCAGTTTTGCACTGTTTACTGAATTAAATAGTTTATTTGTATATAGATTACTATCTGTGTTGAATCAACTGTGATTTTCAAAATACTATAGTACTGTATTGTACTACATATTGCAACTAATTTATTTTTAATTTGAAGTAGATATATTGTCAGTCATGAAAGGCTCTTGGCATAGTGAAGGAACAAGTGGAAAAGGGTTCTAAGAATTCTACATTAATTAAATCATTTAATCACCACAATAATACTACCAGTTGTTTTACCATTATCTCCATTTTACTGTGATGAACATGAGGCAGAGGGGTATTAAATAACTTAACCAGAGTCACACAAGATTTGAATCTGGGCACATCTGGTTGCCATAATAAATATGAATGGTTTAAATTTATGTATCAAAAGGTAAATACTCTTCAGAATGTATTTCTTTAAAATCTAAGCTGTATGTGTAAGGGCAAAATGTACGATATAGACTAATTGCTTTTGAATTAAGAGGAAGAGGAACATAACAATGATATAAGAACCTGACTCATGTAGAAAACAGTAAGTCCAATAGAACTGGCACATAACAAAGTGTCATAAAATTAAGTTGGATCAGATTTTGAGGTCTTTAAAGCCAAAGAAAGGAGTTTGGATTAAAGACTGTAGGCAATAAGAATATTTTTAATGTAGAAATAATATCACAAAATGCCTAAGAATGTGGCCTCAGTGATATGTCTGCCTGTTTGAATCTTATTCTACCACTTAGCTATGTAACATTGGGCAGTTTACACAACAATTCTAAACTTTACTCTTCTCATTTGTAAAATGAGGATAATAATGGTACCAATCTCATGGATTTGTAAGAATTAAATCATGGCTAAGGTGTTTGGCACAGAGCAAGCCCCCTATAAACACTAGGTTTTTTTTTTTGTTTGTTTTTTAAATTAATGTTACTGGAGGAGAATTTCATTATGAAAAGAGCAGCTTTTGGAGTATTCATCTGGTAACATTGTGCAAAATGAGTTTATATAAGTGGAATACCACCATGTAGGTTACTGTATATTCATCTCAGTAAGAGGTAGTTAGGACCTGGAAGAGATAGGTTATTTCAAAAGGGTCCTATGTGATAGTAACAAAAAGTACAAAACGTAATTGACAAACTTGGTTTTTTGTTTTACTTCTACTGTTCACCATCTAGGTAACCTTTGAATAAACACTTGAAAAAAATGAATAATTTAACTTTAAATCATTTTCTATGATTGTAATATAATGCAGCTTACATTAGATCATATTGAAAGATAACAAAGAACTAAGGGGGCGCAATTACATGAAACAGTTTCCTTGATTAACTTTTAATTCTTTATAATCTTTCTTTCTTTTCCCTGAACCATTAAGATCTGCTAAGTATTTGCTTATTTAATTAAAATGTGTTTATGTAGGACGTACACAATCGCAATATGTAACTTACTAAATTATATGTTCTATATTAGTCTTAAAATTTGGAGCTACAGCCTCAGAAAATATCACTACCTTTGAAATATTTTTACTATTTGCATGAAAATGAATTTGTTAAAATTCTTTGAAAGGTTGAAAAATGTTTTATAAAGCACATTTAAATTGTATCACAGATGGTGTCCTTGGAAGTAATTTGGGATGTTTGATGAAACTCAAATGAGACTAGGCTGACTTTCACTAAGTCCAGATCAGTGAAATACTTTGTGACATTTACTTTTTAATGAGTTTTAACAAAAATTGAGTATTCAGTACCATCCCATTTATTTCAGAATAAAAACTAGCTTTTTGTTACATTTGATTGTGACAAGTTCTGTATTATGTGATAATAATGATTAATGTAATTTAGGAAGTAGTTCAATATTTGATATTTTCTTTACTGTTTTTGACATAATTGGAGTAGGAATTTTCCTAGAGATAATTATGACTTTTTTATTTCCTTAATAGTTTCTGGTGATCTGCTAAAACCTTTTTTTTAAAAAAAGACACAATTCTTATAATATTGTAAAGTATTGTTATTCTTTATTTACATGTTAGGACATAGACTTTAAATCATAAAAGATACAAACAAAAATTGAAAAGATACAGTGCCAAATTGCTTTATCTTTCTTGTTGAATTTACCATTTTAGTAGAAATTAATAGGTTGTATTGCTTTTTTAAAAAATTATTTTAACTCCTTTTAAAGCCAATGTATATATTGGCTATACATTTCAATTTATCCTAACATACTGGTCGGTAGCACTAAATGGCTTTTTAAGTTTTTAAACCAGGGAGTACCTCAACAATATAGCAAAAATGCTAGTAGATCCTAAGTCTATTAAAACTAAATTTACAAACAACTGGTTTTTAACCGCTTTTGGATCACTGACACCTTTGAAAATTGAAAGAAAAGGATATACTATCTTAAAACATGCTGATATATATGCATACAGAGCTTTATTATATAATTTCAGGATGTCTGAGTTAAGATCTCCTCTGCTAGATTGGTTTTTTTCTTTCACTCCTTTCACTGCTGTGGCTTTCTTTCTAGCAGTGGTTCTTAAAGCATGGTCTCCAGACTAGTGCCATCAGCATCACCTGAGAATTTGGTAGAAGTATGAATTTTTGGCTACCACCCCCTCCAACCCCCAAATATTGAATCAGAAATTCTCAGAGTATTGTCCTACACTTTACTCTGTTTTATCACAGAGATAGCTCTGATGCATGCTAAGGTTTGAAAAACACTGTTACATAGTCAGAATTCCCATCTAAAAGGGTAGTACCTGCTACATCACCTTTCTGTCTTCAGTCCACTTTATCAACATTCATGATTACCTCCTCCAGTGATCTTTAAGGTTTTGGGGGAAAGAAAAGATGCTCATTCTTATGTTGTTAAGGACCTTGTCTTTTCTTAAGGGTCACTTTTTATTGTTTATCCACCTTCATGCAAACAAATGCTTAGAAAAGTCATATTCAAACAATTTTTAACAAATCATTAATAATGTTGAATAGTTTGCATTTTTCCATTGTTTATGTTTATAACACTACAAGTCGTCGAGGACTTTTGTAGCCCTTACCCAATTTTCTTCTCTCATCATCCCTCTTTTACTTGGATTAGAAAACTGAAGCTGAAAGGAGTTGCTATCCTGGTAAAGTGTCAAAGACAATACTGTAATTCTAATGTGATTCCTCGGTCAGAGTTCTTTCCAATTCATTGCTCATTGGATATTTTGTTAAAGTGATCAAGCAGCTAAATTATAGTCTTTGTTATAAGAGGCAATTATCAGCTTTGTGTGAAATGAACTCCATATACTCATCTCCAAATGCCTATCAAATACTGGGATGAACTCCCCTGACTCCTTCATCTATAGTTTCACTTATAATCAAAATTTGATTATATATACTTATAAATTTAAATTAGTTCCTGTTGATTTATGTGAGAATAAAAGGAGCCTGCGTATACCCAAATCTCTAATCTCTCAGAATTCTGCTTCTATATCTCTAGCTTAATGCTGTCATCACAACAAGATAATAGAATATACTTTCTGTTTTTAGTAGAGATTTTGACTTCCAAGCCTTATTCTTCTACTTGTCCTTTTTATTCATTTAGCAAATGTAAATGGAAGTACACTATTATAAGGCTTTCATGCTATACTAAAATTTTACTAATATTACTTGAAGGTAGACTGTGGTAAATTAAAGATGTGTACTATAAACTCTAAAGCAAACAATAAAAATAATACTAGACGTATGAATAATGAGCCAATGTAGGACATAAGATGGAAAAATAACGTTTACTCAGTTAATCCAAAAAAGAGAAGTTACCAGTAGTAGGAATAAGAGGGGACATCACTACAGTTCTTACAGACATTAAAAAGATAATAAAGGTATATTATTAACAAATTTATGCCCATAAATTCAATAACTTAGATGAAATGTACATATTCTTTAAACAAAACTTTCTATCAAAGCTCATTCAAGAAGAAATAGATAACCTAACAGCCTATAATATTAAAGAAGTTGAATTTGTTATTAAACCTTCCCACAATGAGTGCTCCTAGATTTCAGTGGTGAAATCTAACAAATATTTAAGGAAGAAATAATACCAACTTTACACAAGTTCTTCCAGAAAATAGAAGAGGCAGGAATATTTTTCTGCTTTTTCTATTAGACCAGGATTGCCTGACATCAAAACCTAACACAAACGGGAGATCTATTTACAACATAGAGCCTAGAGTTAACGATACTACGCTGTATACTTAAAAATTTGCTAAGTGCTGTCTTACCACAAAAGAAAGAAAGTAGTATAAAAAATTTAAATAAAGGGGGCAGAAGGAAACTTTTGGAGGTTATACATAACTTTATGGCCTTCATTGTGTGATAATCTTACAGGTGTATACTTATCTCTGAACTCATCAAGTTATATACATTAAATCTGTACAGCTTTTTGTATATACATCACACCTCAATAAAATGTATTTTTTAAAACCTAACAAAGATATTACTATAAAAGAAAACTACAGACCAATTTTTTTCAAGAGCATAGACACTAAACTTCTTAAGATATTATATTAGCTAATTGAATCCAACTAAATATAAAATGAATAATGAATCATGACCAAGTGGGTTTTTCCACAAGAATACAAGTGTGGGTTATCATTAAAAATCAATTAATGTTAATTTACCATATTAATAGACTAATAAATTAAAAATCCTATGATCATTTTAATAGACAAAGAAAATTGTTAGACAAAATTTAACATCTAGTTGTGAGAAAGACCTTTAGCAAACTAGGATTAGAAGGGAACCTTCTCTATCAAATAAGGGCATCTATGGGAAAGTTGCAGCTAAAATCATACTAAAAGACTGTATTCTTTCCTTCTAAGATCAGAAATGGGGCATTGAGGTTTGCTCTTACCACTTCTATTCAGCATTGTACTGAAGGTCCTAGTTAGTGCAAAAATTAAGAAAAAGGAATAAAAAGCATATTGATTGTAAGGAAAGAAGGAAGCCTGTCTTTGCTTGCAGAGGATGTTGTCATCTATTTACAAAATCTTAAGGAATCTACAAAAATGTAAGAGTTTAAGTTAGCAGATTGTGGGATACAAGGGAAATACATAAAAAATTAATTGTAGTTCTGTATTCTAAAAATAAAGTATTAAGCATTGAAATAAAAAATATCATTTGTAATAGTATCAGAAAGATTACATATCTAGGGATAAAATTGACAAAAGATGTGTAACACCTTTGTGCACACTGAAAACTATAAAACATTAGTGAGTAAAATTAAAGAAGGCCTAAATAAATGGAAGATACACTGAGAGATGTACTATATTCATGGATCAGGAAACCCAAAGTTGTTAAAATGTCATTTCTTTCCTAACTGACCTATAGATTCAACACATCTCAATCAAAACCTCTGCAATATTTTTTGTAATGATTGACAATTAGATTCTAATGTTTTCTTCTGCAAAAATGCAAAGGACCTAATATAGCCTAAACAATTTTGAAAATAATAAAATAGAAGGTCTTTCTCTTTGTGATTTCAAGGCATTATGAAAACACTAATCAAAGCACTGTGGTACTAGCATATATCTCAGTGTGGTTTGGGGGATAAAGTTTCCATTATATTAATCTTTTTACAGTTGAAAGAAATTCTGTAGGGACAAAGACAAATTTTTTTTAATTTACCACTCGTAAAATGAATTCATCAAATTTAATTTGATTTCATTATGCATTAAATAACTATTTCAAGAAAACATGGTTGACTACTTTCTTTATATCAGTTTTCCTTATTCTTTCAAGAATTTTTGCTTTTAACAAAAACTTCCTTTTAGAGAAACATTAATTCTATTTATCATTTAATTTTAATGAGATCAAGGGAAAACACATCTTAATGAATAAATTAATGATGTACATAATATGAATTTTGATAAAATATTTTCACTGTTCCACTAACGTTAAAAGTCTTTTATATATAATAGGGTATATGTAAATTTAATTTTGACCCTTCTTAAATTGTAGTGTCCTCTCACATGGCAGAGCAAGTGGGAAGGCCCAGAAGATCCCTTACAATACCTTAGAGGTCTTGTAGCTCGTGCCCTTGCAATACAGGTAAGACTAAATTATTTAGTAATCATATTGTATGACTATTATATTATAAACCTGCATATTTAAATAACCTTTTTGCTAGTGATTAGTGAGAATTATGTTATGATTTTGTACGTAAGGCACCATATATTCATTTCTTATTCTGCCATCTGTGTTTTTTACAGTACTCTTTTTTTTAAAAAAAAGTATGTTCTTTCTGCTTACTGTGGCTTTTAAAAATTTTTGAGAATTAGAGAAAAATCTTCACTTTTAGTATAGATGTATTATATAGAGGGTAAATGAAACTGATTCATAACTATGACTAATTTTCTCCAGGCTGTAAAGATTTTTTTATTCATTTATCTATCTATTTATCTATTTATTTATTCATTTATTACAAATATTCATGAGATACAGAGCTGATTGTCCCCCTCCTGCCCATGATCTGGGGGCCAGATTCATACTAGAGCCATATCCATTACCAGAAATAACTTTTATACCCTTTGTCACCTCCCAATTATCCCCAACCTCCCTCCCCTTCCCCCTCTCCCCTCAACTCCAATTTGTAGCCCTAGGAATGTTCCCTCCCTCTGTTGGATCACGGCACTACTGTGGTCTTTCTTTCCTGCCTTCCTTTCTCTCTTAGCTCCCACATACGAGGGATACGTATTTATCCCCTTGTTTCACTCAACATAAGTTTCTCCAGGTTCATCCATGTTGTTGCAAATGGGAGTATTTCATTCTTTTTTATGGCAGAGTAGTATTCCATAGTGTATATATACCACAGTTTCCTTATCCAATCATCTATTGATAGACATTTAGGTTGGTTCCATATCTTGGCTATTGTAAACAGAGCTGCAATAAACATGGGAGTGCAGGTTATCTCTTCAACATGATGATTTCCATTCCTCTGGATATATACCCAGAAGAGGGATTACTGGATCATATGGAAGATCTATCTGTAGTTGTTTGAGAAACCTCCAAATTGTTTTCCAAAGTGGTTGTACTAATTTACAGTCCCACCAAAAGTGCAGTAGTGCTCCCTTCTCTCCACACCCTCACCAGCATTTGTTATTCACCATCTTTTTGATTATAG